TTGGTTTGCAACATCTTTTTTTGCGGTTCCGCAGGTGGCCGGGCCCGGAGGCGGATTTTTGAGTTTTTGGACCCGTTTTCGGACTGATTTTCGTCGTTTTGTGATAGCAGAAACACTGGTTTTTACAGTGTTTTTCTGTTTTCTGCATGCTTGACGGCTAGCTTCAAAACTTCCAAAAACCTCGTAAATTACGCTGTTTTATGTTACGGTGTGAATGAAAACATCGTAAATACCAGTGTTTTTTGACGTTGGTTAAAAAAACACTGTAAATTACAGTGTTTTTGGCCACCTGACTCTCAAAAACCATGGTATTTGCAGTGGTTTCTGCTTCTCACCGCGCAAAAACACTGTAAATAACAACAATTTCGCCGTTTTTTCATGTTTTTCGTTATTTTTTGAACTGTGTTGGTCCGCTATACATGGCTATCAAATTCTTCGCGTTTTTTTTCCGACAATCAATACTTTCGGATGTTTTTGGTCTCAATGGCCGACATCATTGGCAGTTACGAGCGGCTGCCCAACGATGCGGTGCGGGCGGTTGCCGTCGCGAAGCGACGTGAATAACCGATGATGCTTATGAAAAAGAAATCACAGTAGGTAGCAAGGGGAGCCGGTTAAAACAAGTACATCTAAGAAAAGTCATCTTTTGGTTTAAAACAAAATGTGAGCGCATGGTTCATGTATGTTTTGGTATGTTTTGGTCACAAATCTATGTGGCTCTGACTTGCATCTCAACTCAGTATTTCTGCATCGGGTTCCGAACGAGGCCAAAAACGATGCCAAAACGAGGCCCGAACAAGGCCAGAAAATAGTTTTGGAAACCCCTCAGCTCTAGCAGCTCAGCAGCACTTTGCACGCTGCCCGTGATGGCTGCAAGCTGCAAGTGTTGACTGCACACATGGTCCTTCCTTCCTTCCTTCCTTCTTTCCTTCCTTCCTTCCTTCCTTCCCTTCGTTCCCCCCTTGCATCCTTCCTTTCGTCCTTCCCTCCTTTCCTCCTTCCCTCCTTCCCTCCTTATTTCCTTTCTTCCTTCCTTCCTTCCTTCCTTCCTTCCTGCCTGCCTGCCTGCCTGCCTGTCTGTCTGCCTGCCTGCCTGCCTGCCTTCCTTCCTTCCTTCCTTCCTTCCCTCCTTTTCTCCTTTCCTCCTTCCCTCCTTCCCTCCTTCCCTCCTTTCCTCCTTTCCTCCTTTCCTCCTTCCCTCCTTCCTTCCTTCCTTCCTTCCCTCCTTCCCTCCTTCCTTCCTTCCTTCCCTCCTTTCCTCCTTCCCTCCTTTCCTCCTCCCCTCCTTTCTTCATGGTCATTTATTTTTTTTTGTGCATGTATGTCTGTAGTGTAAATAATGTGTTATCTAATGTAATGTCATGTCATGTCATGTCATGTAACGCAATGTAAGGTTAATGCAAGGTCATGTAATGTAACGTATTATGTATGTACGTACGTACGTACGTACGTACGTATGCATGCATGCATGCATGGAGGTATGTACAAGGTATGTACAAGGTATGTACAAGGTATGTACAAGGTATGTACAAGGTATGTACAAGGTATGTACAAGGTATGTACAAGGTATGTATGTATGCATGAATACATGTGTATACATGCATATTTACCTACAGTACATATTTGCAAAAAGACATAGAATCTCTTGTGCTTGTCGGCATGGCCATTGAAAATCAATATGTTAGTGGAAACATATGTAAATTGATATGTTTTCCATTGGTGGCTAGAGGGTCAGATCCGCACGCCAAATATGGGCACCATGTTATGGCTAGTCAAAGAGAAATCGATACTAAAACATGGGATTTTTGGGTACAGTGCTTTCAGAGAGACCTCTTTAGGATATCTCGTCTTGCAAAAAGACGTGGGCCATCAACCCATCAAAACACTGGTGAATACTTTTGTACCTAGCTGTTGTTGCTTTATATACGTATGTTTATATCGTTTTTTGTCTGTCGAAACCCAAGATTCTAGACTTTCTTGTGCCCCCCCCCACTATCCTTTCTTGTGCCCCGCACTATCCTCATTATCACTTGGTTCGTTTCATGGTAATAATTACAGGGGGGCATGCCCACCCAGCAAAATGTGTGGGTTTCCAGACATGTTCTCTTCAAATCATTCCAAGGCCTCTCATACATTAAAGAAAGGTACCCCTGGTACCCCTACTGAAACTCCCCATTTTTTAGAAACAAAAACCATGAACTTTTTGTTTCGCAAAAATAGAAAGTTAGGGGCCCCATATCACAACTTATTGTAAACTCACCATGGTTCCCATCAAAATCACCCAAAGTCGCCTCCAACCCATGAGTCTGTCGAGACGTGCATACGCGTCTCCTCACCGGGAGCCAGGGACGAGCGCGACGAGCGGGACGAATCATGGGGGAATTTAACTCAGAAATGGTGGTGGTAGCCATCAAAAAAAAGGTGGTCTTCAGTAGCCACCTGTCGGAAAATCATAACATGCAGTATGTGTGTGTGTCATGGTCAAAAGATTATATGGGATATGATCATCCATCCCAGAATGCGAATCCTTGCAATGGGTATATAGGGCAATTCACCGAAATTTTGACGGAATTCGGCGCGAACGCGAGTCGCAGCACCAACGCCCCTTCCCGGTTAAGGGGGGTACGAGGTGTCAGAAACGAGAAGGGTGAACCAGAAAAGACTGTACAGCAACGACCAAGGCAAGCCAAGCAAACGGTCGAATTGACAAGCACCTAATTGTTGGCACGATCCATGGCTCTGCGATCACGAGCCAGCCGTTTATATCTCCCAGTGACAATACGTTGCCAGCATTGATGTCTTTCACGCATAGAGACTTCGGTAATGTCACCACTATCAGATGGCAGCGGAGCAGCAAGGATGGACAACGGCAAGTGAAAAGTGTTGGCTCCACCTAATCTGTTGACGTACTCATAGACCGCCTGAGCAGTATCAGCAGGATTAGGTAAGCAAGGCCTACAAGGCAAACCCGCAAAGGTACCAGAGAAACTGAAATGACGGAGGGACGAACACTTCTTTGACGAAAAATTTGGCAAAATGGTTCCAGTGATGGTTCGAATCGACAAAATGGCCTGTGAAAAAGTGTAATAAGTTTTCGAAGCAGAACGTGTCGACGATGGAAGCAAAAGAGCTTCCTTAGAAGAATAATTCAAGAAAACGGCATCAGCTTTTTGACCTCCCGTCTTGACGGGCGGATACATCCGTGAGAAAAGCACAAAGCTGAAAAGAAGCTCTAACCAAGAGATGCCCCAGTCGTCCGAACGTTTGTAATCATTTTGAATGTCAGGAGGCCACCTACAGTGTGACAGCCACTTGACCACTGCAGCTGTAAAGTTGGCACCCTGGATGATACCTGTGAAAGTTTGTTGGTCAACGTTGCTTTCGTCAAACAATGGAACATAATGAGCTGGGGCAAAAGATTTCAAGAAGTCCAAAGCATCAAGTCCCATGGCCTTGGAAGGCATAAGGGAAGCGGAGGTGTCGTCTTGTGATACTTCAGGTTGGCCCACAATAACAGAGCCTTGCTTGAGAGCATCAATCCGACACCGATTAAGGTCAACCAGGTACGTAAACACACTGTCAAGCCGCCTGGCTTCATCCTTGTGAAACGTTGCCAAATCACGTAGCATGTCCGACACAACCTGGGGAACCCGCTTCAACCGAAATTTTGACCATGGCATGTGTATATATATATATATTGTATATTATATATATATATGTAGGTCTGCGTGTACTGGCAAAGGACAGCCACTCAAAACCTGTCAGCCGAGATCTTCCCGGCCAGGGTCTGCAGGTCTCGAACTTTTGACCAAAACCCCACTAGCCCACAGTGGATCACTCAATTGCCAGCTTCGCCATAACTCCATCGCTAGTTTGGCTGGGCCTTGCCAGACCCAAACGGCCCAAACACGATCGCAGATCAAATGCCAGATTTAGAATGTCAGAATATGTGTCAGGTAAAATGTGAGAAGAGATGTCAAATAGAATGTCAGATAGAATTCAGAATATCATATTGGAGATAAGATGTCAAATGTAAGAATACAAGCCACAGTGGGGATCACACGAAGAACGTACCCGTTTTGCTATCTTAAATGATGTTATCACTGGAGAGGAACTGGGTCCAATATCCCAAAGATGTCCCAGGAAGTCCCAGTTCGGAACATCCACTTGATCTGTCCGACATGCGAATCTAACATAGCAGTGGAAAATCATCATGATTAGCAAATGATCGCACTATGTCTGGGCCATCTATGTCGTAGCAAAGTGTAACTTTAAACGACCAATGAGTCGATCATATCAGTGATATCCATTGATATCCGATATATCCCATGACTTCCAGTTCTCTCCCAGAAAATGGTGAGGCAGTGAAGCAGTCGGACTGGGAGAATCGCTCCTCCTCCCCACACCTCTTGTCTGTAGGGGCATTGAAGTTGATACATCCTGCGACAAAATAAAAAAGGCGGCTGGATGGTGATCCAGTGAAAAACGGGGGTCACTGGAATCCTTAAGTGATAAATCCATATATCAATCCATGTAAACAATCCATATCCATGTAAAATCATGTAAACGTACCAAGGCGGATCAAACGTCCAGCTTTCATCATGGTGAGCATATGTCGGCAGCTGTAAGGGATGGTCTTCACCGGGACTCGCTTTGGTTTGGGCTGGTGTTTGGATTGCTTCGGGATTCCCAGCCACAATCACCCCCAAGAAACCGGCTAGGGTTTGTACAATCAACTATCCACTAAGGGGGTCACAGCTCATGCCCAGCCTGCTAGGCCATAGATGGGTGAGCCACCATATTCTGCAGCCCTCTCATCGATCTGGGCCTGATATCCTCGGGCTGCCACTCGCATTATTACTAATACTACTACCACTACTAAAATAAATGTTGATTGAATTAGCACTGCAGCTATACCAACAAAGTCATATGTTCCCAGCAATTACATGCTATTCAATAGCAGAGTTTTCTATAGACATAGAGAGAGAGAGATGCAGTCATCTACGGATTTACGTATATGTATATCATATAATATCATTAGATTATGTTTCCGTCGAATTTCTGTACATAGATACACTCCAATCTCTGCAGAATATCGTGCGAATCCCCGCCGCATGAGTTCGTAAAGGGGCGCTTGGTGATTCTGATCGAAAAATATGAGCCATGAAAAATAGTCCATACATGTCCATAGCCATCCAACTATACCGGTTGTTGAATATTTATCTGATATCCCAGTTGATTATGGGTTATAATATGTTATAATGCTCCCCGACAAACCAGGTAGGTCCAACCCTCTTCCTTTATTGACCCATCAACAGAGGATCACAGGAGTATAACTTTAATGGCTCACATAAATCTTAGCTTAGGGCAACTTCATCTTTTCCAGGAATGGTATCTATCCAAATTATCGTTGTTGGCCCAGCCTTGTTTGCTTCCCCAGCCGAAATTTCCGCAATTTCCTTTCAGGTCAGTCTGCTGGATTTACCCTCAGGATGATATCAGCAACGGGAATAGTTTACCATAAAATACATATACATTTACCAACAGAAAATGGAGATACGTTTAATGTGTTATGTATGCATGTTATGTTATGTTATGTTATGTTATGTTATGTAATGTAGTGTAGCGTAGTGTAGCGTAATGCAATGTAATGTAATGTATGTAATGTAATGTATGTAATGTAATGTGATGTGATGTGATGTAATGTAATGTACTGTAGTGTAATGCAATGTAATGTAATGCGATGTAATGAAGTGTAATGTAATGTAATGTGATGTAATGTAATGTGATGTAATGTGATGTAATGTGATGTAATGTAATGTGATGTAATGTAATGTGATGCAATGTGATGCAATGTAATATTATGTAATGTAATGTAATGTGATGTGATGTGATGTAATGTGATGTAATGTAATGTATGTATGTATATATATATATGTATATATATATATATGAAGCCAATGATTAGATAAAGTCTAATAAACCATCCCCTTAAATCGACCAGATTACCATCCTGGCAGCCCGGTTTTACCCTGGAAAGCGGAAGATATTCGAAGGATGGCAGATGACTGACCCAGATACCATCTGGTAACATAGCTATTGAAAATGACCGTCTATTAGTTAATATACCATAAAATTACCATCATATACCGAAACATGATGATTTTCCATAGTCATGTCAGTTTACTGGAGGGTATCCTAAAGATCTTCCAAAGATCACGAAGCACTTCTATTCTGGGCCTCAACGACCGGGTCGGAACCGTCGAGCCACCAATCACTTCGTTGATGAGAATGGATACCTCGCGAAGATGCACAAAAAAGGGGTTTGATCCAATGGTACCCCAATCGCTGGATGCTTTATTTCATGGAGAATCCAAAAATAAAATGGATGATTTGGGGATACCATGGGGTACCCCTATTTTTCTTGAAACCTCCAAATATGCACAAATCATATTGGGGCCTAAATACAAAACCCAGCAATCCAAGCATGAGATAAAACGGGCTTGCAGGCCTCGAACATCACCCAAGCATCGGCCGATCAGACAGCCAAAAACCAGTAAAACCCCTCTGGTTTTGATCCCCGCAACCGCCCCAACCGCCGGGCGGTTGTTCCTTGCCCAGGCGCCAGCTCCGATAGGAGTGGGGCAGACGGCCAAGTTCCGGAGAGAATTCCCACAGGGATCTCAGCTCCAGATGCATTTCGGAGAGACCGGCGCTGCCTTGGCTCCACGGGATTCGGGCCGGGGATTCACCCGGCGTGAACGGCCTGGATGACCAAGTCACGGACCGTCCTGAATAAAGAAGGTCGTTTCCGCTTTTTGACTCGAACAAAAGAGTCTTAAAGTATCAAACATGGTTGTTGCAATCAAGAATGAGTGTGTAGCCTTTGGTAAACTAATAGCGTGCTATCGAAAATCACCATTTTCAATGGGTCAATCTTGGTCAAACATTGAACTAAATGATCCATGTTCCATAGCTATGTTAGTTTACTGGTGGGTATGTGATATGTGTTGGATCAGGTGAATATGCCACCATAGAGCCACGGGGCACCTCCCATGTCCTGATACCGCCTGATACCGCTGAGAAAGTCGTGCATCCGGGGTAGCTTTTTAAAGTGGTAGCCATGGTAGCCATCAATAAGCCACAAATAAACCTGGAAATATCCCATAGCTGGATTATAATATGGTTATGAATACCCACTGAAGATGCCTGCAATCCACCCAGCTGAAGGTGGAAGTCTCTGTTCACTGGGCATTGGCATTGGGTACAACCACATCTATGCCCTGGTTTGGGTGTGTCCGAAAATGGAATATACTAGTATACAGTATACACCTAAAAGTTTTTTTTCAATAGGGAAAATGACGATTAAAACCGGATTTAGGGGTATACCATTTTCAGGAAGACCTACTTTGTTGTTGCTAGTGAAGCTTTCTGCAGCAACATGTTTCCTCGTGGCATGTTCGCACTTCACCACCCAAGGTATTGGCAGCTTTGTCACAAGAGAGGTATCGGCGAACCAACGCTTTCCACTTCACCAACGTTTGGATATGGGTTGTATGGTTCTACGTCATACTTGCAGCACTCTCCGGTGATTCAAAATAGCTATTGAAAAATGGTCATTTGTGGTCAATTATTTTACTTGCTACAAAAACAATAATAATTGTGATGTTCAAAAACTATATATGTTGAACATTCACAATTATTTAACACCATTTAAAAATCCATCTGCAATATGTATCCACCATTTGTTATGAAAAAATAATAATCATCAGCAGGTTGCCTGAAAAGGCAACAAAAAAAGTACCTGCCAACCTGCCAAAGATGTTGCCATCAAGATTTCACCGAAAAACACCAGCGGATCACACCGTTTTAAACAGGGTGAATCTCAGACATCGTGCATCTTTGATTCACAATGGGATAATTTTGTGAGATGAAACTGATGTTTTTTTTTTGTGGGACGCTTTTGCGGAAGATCCCACAAAGTGGGATGATAATTTTCCCCCACTCCCCACTGGAAAAAATTGTTGTTTCAACCCATCCCAAATATATCAATGCTCGCCGTTGGGGCCCATCCTCCCAACCAAAGGCGACAAGAATTATGTATTGGTTCAACCACCAACCACATCTTCATCGGGAACAGAAACCCATTATTTACGGTATCCATAATATACCTGCTGTAAACCACCGACCAGAAACCTTAATTGCTCACACAAAAACCATGGTATACCCGAAATCTCTATCCATTTCAGATGGTTAAATCATGATAAATCCCCACCATCCTTTTCACCCAACAACCATCAACGCCCAAATGCTCAGCAGCAATGCCTGTGGATATACACAGGGATTGCACACCTACTGGCGCCAATAACGATAATAAGACCAGGAGGCTCCTGAGTAGGGCAAGCATTGGAGGCCTGGAAAGGCTCACATGATTTTTTGTTTGTTGGGCCTGGGATATGGGGCCCACTCTGCTAAAATATACATATGATTTTATATAGTATGTATATCAATCTCAAAGTATATGTATAGATGTAATGCAATCATAATATCATTTAAATGTACGCGTATTATTGTATACTATGTGTAAATATGATAAACTGTATGTATATATTCATGAATTTAAAATAATAAACATATAACATAATAAACTAAAATAAAGCGAACTATAATATGATATAAAAAATGTAATGTATCATGACACAATGAAATATGAAATGTAAAAAAAATAAATAGTAAAAAAAAATTACGTATATGCATATATGTGTATATATAAATGTATATATATAAATATATATACGTGTATATATATATGTATGTGTATATATATATATATGTGTATGTATGTACAACGTATAACATATATCGTGCATCATATATAACATAAAATGGACTAATAAACTCGGTAATATTTTTAAGTCATGCAATCTATTATGCAATACAATGTCTCTATTATATATATATAATAACGAATATCACAATATATTTCATATTATTTCATATATTCTAAAATATCGCATAAAATATCATTTGACACAACATATAATATATCAGAATATAATAAACGTCTATTTAGGGTAATAGAAAAGAATATTATATGTCAAGGAAATCTTGCGCAGAGATCTTGACAAGGATGTCTCTTTTACAGAGCTTGCCCAGAGATCTTGACAGAGATCTCATAAAGAGATCTTGGCAAGAGATCTCTTGTAGAGATCTTGTCCAGAGGTCTTGTCCAGAGGTCTTGCCAAGAGACCTTTTATAAAGACCTGTACAGGGATTTTGCCAAGAGGTCTCTTACAGAGATCTTGCCAAAGGAGCTCTGATAGAGAGCTTGTACAGAGATCTTGCCAGGAGAGCTCTTATACAGATCTTGTACAGAGACCTGGTGCAGAGAGCACAGAGGTCTTGCTCGGAGATCCTTTATAGATAGCTTGAGCAGATATCTCACCTCGAGATCCCTTACAAAGACCTTCTATGGAGATCTCCTATAGCCACCTTGTACAAATAGCCTTACATAGGGATCTTGCACAGCAGCTTCTACAGAGAACCTCTCCAGGAGATCTTGCGCACGATCTTCTACAGAGATCTTCACAAAGGGAACTTGCAGAATCTTACCTGATACCTCTTCTTCCAGAGACCACCTTGACTGAACACCATGCTTTCACTAATAGGGTTGCTCTTGTCCTGCTAGCTTGCAGCCACTGATGCTTTTCGGTCCTTTCCACCTTTCCGTTTAGAATCCTAACTACACACTGTTTGGAGTCTCTTAGAAACAACATCTTAGCGACCATTCCAAGTATAGTCGCTGCCGATGTACCCAAGATATACAGTACATGCTGATATCATATGTATGTATATGTATTAATATATGTATATACATACACAACTGATTGAAGTGTGTTGTTACGTAGTTCTTTGCCATTTCTCATGGAAAACATAGCTACTCCATCCACTCCATGGCCCATCCTTGTCATATGCTCCACTGGAAGACTTGATCGGCTCATATAATCATAGGCCGTCACAACCGGTCAGGTTCTGAAAAAAATCTTGACCCAACAGCCACGGATGCCACGGCGTCTGGGGATGGATCAAATGGATTCAGAAAATGGGCCCAGCCCCTGGTTTCCACGTAAAAATAAACTGCTAATTCTGTCATCTCCCTAAAAATATGGTATTTATATGATATTTATGGGCATAGCCATTTCTTAGACCGAACACCTGGCAGTTCATTTTTTGGGTGTGCCTCAGTAAATTTGAAATGGACTAAACTGTCCATTTAGGAGGCTGCGACCTTCCATGCAATGATATTCGATATAATGGTAAACCCAATGCCATAACCCTACCATTTGGGGATAATTTTGAAAATCCATGTGTGGCAATATTGGGGATGGTTTACGGCATTGGGTCTACCAAATGATTTTTTTCGGTTGCATGGGGAAAACGAAGTGAATTTGCAAGATATCTGAAACTCTGCAAGTCGCTGTCCCTGGATATATAGATAGACTTTGACCTTCCAAATCTAAGGATATATCTATCTACATATTATCTACATATATCTACAACTTTGGTCGTTCCCCATGTAAAAGCTTTCAGTTCGAAGGTCTGGTCATCCCAAGTTTGCTGAACACTCATGGGGATCTAAGCGACGTGACCCCGCCATAGATTCTTAAGATTCGTCCTAGAAACAATGGTTTTCATGGTTCATAAGCCCTACCCTCTGGTAAACTAACATAGCTATTGAAAATTGCCCATTTATAGTTGATTTACCTATTAAAGATGGTGATTTTCCATAGCTATGTTAGTTTACCAGAGGGTAAACCCAAACATTCTTGGGGTTGGACACCACGGACACCGAAGATTTTGGGGTTTTGCTGAATCCCCCTGGTATAACCTCAATCCGAACTGGAAGGTCTCCACTGGATGGAACTGGAATTACAGTTGTAGATCTTTTCTGACTATGACCCTACGAATATGATGGCTATAAACATTGCCGAAGGTCCTGCGGAAAAAAAAACTATCAGTGCTGCAAGTGGCCAGCAATCCAGCAGGTCGTTAAAAAGTTCAGAAAAAACGCGTAATCAAAGACGACAAGGGACAAGGCATCGTATTACATCCCCTTTTTTGGATCATGTTCATAGGTTCAAAATGGAAAGAAATCACAATCTACAAATGATTTTTTCCATGGGAATATCATGGAATCCAAATTTTGGGAATATCATGGAATCCAAATTTCGACATGATTTCCCAATGAACCTCACAATCAATAAGGGTTTCATCCTCATCTAAAGATAACTGCCCTCGATCAACCGGAACTTCTCAGCCATCGGACAGCAACGTCTCCAATCTTGGGTACTTTTTTTAACTGGTTCGCTTGCCACATCCCGATCTATTTCGCAAAAGCATGCAAGGGATGAGCTAGAAGTTGTACCCATCACCAGTTGATGCTTCATTTTCGTTCATGTTCCATATTTTGTTGCTTAAAAATGTTATTTTCCATATTTTGTTGGTTAAGCATGTTAAAAAACTCGTCTTTTTCAACATCTCCAGATGGAAACTCCCCAGACGTCCCAGTTTCGGCTCGGCTTCGGACCATCCCGGGCACGCTCAAGACACTGCGAAAGATCGGCTCCTCCAGCACCGTCGCCACGCCTGACACCCCAAGAAATGTCATGGTGGCCCGAATTTTGGATGGTGTTTTTTGGTGGAAAATCCTACTAAAATGGATGATCTGGGGGTACCTCCATTTCAGGAGACCACCATATTGAAAGAAGATATCTGGAAGAAAAAGTCAGCATCTTGGGAAAATGTCCTAGGGATATGATTGGAAGGTGAATTTTTTCTGGGCCCAATAAGGATATTGAGGGTTTATGGTAGGAAAAAAAGCAGGAAATATGGGGCCTCGCTTGGGGAGGCTTCAAGGACAAAAAACGGGTTCCCGACGACCCAGATACTTTTGGGGATCGGAACAAAATATGCCGGAACGAAGAACATGTATTGATTTCAAGGGTTGCGCATTTAACATTTACCTGGTTGGTGGTTTGAACCCCTCTGAAAAATATTAGTCAGTTGGGATGATTATTCCTAATATATGGAAAAATAAAAAATGTTCCAAACCACCAACCAGTTACATATGTATATGGTTATCATCTATTCTGTATACAAATGAATGTGCTTGAATGTGGTCCAGCGTTCCAACCCCCTTCCCCCTCCCCGCCATGGTCATGGGTCAGCCATAGTACTGTCCCCCTCCCTTTTTCACCTGTGGTGTGGTGAGGGTGTGGTTATAAATATATATATATATTATATATATATACGTGTGTATATATATGTGTGTAAATATGTGTATATATATATGTGTATACATGCATACAATATATATATATATGTGTTTTAATATGTATATATATATGTGCGTATGTAAGTGTGTATATATATATATGTGTGTGTATGTAAGTGTATATATATATATGTGTGTGTAAATATATATAGATAGGTATATGCATATATTTATTTGTGTATATATATATGCATGTATCAATATGTATATATATATATGTATGTGTCTATTTAAAAACAAAAGAGAGTATATATAGGAAGTAGATACATAGCATATGTATATATAACTATAGGTAGCACGTAGGTACTTTGAGGGAGTATGTGTGCTACGTAGGTCGTCTAAAAGGTAGCATGTACCTAGTAAATGCGAGGCTGGTACTCAGAATCGCTGCAAAAACCTAGCAAATACGAGGCTGGACCTCAGAAATGCTGCCAACAGCTTGCAAATAGAAGGGAACGGGGTGCTACCTGGGGACCCATACCATTGGGGGGGTAGGAACACGGAACACGAGACCATATATACATATATACATATATACAATATATACAATATATATATATATAATACATATACTTATATCTATATATGCTTATATATATACTTACTTGCTGTATATACATATATACTGATATATATGTACAGAAATATACTTACTGATATATATATATATACATATACACTTACTTTTGTAGATATATATATATACATACTATATATATATATGCTTATATATACTTATATATACTTAAATATATACTTTTGTATATACTTAAATATATACTTTTATATGTAATTCAATATATACTTATATATATATGTGTATATATATATACTTTTATATATAATTTTATATATATTTCCCCACCTGCCAGGTGAGGGTTGTTAGATTTTATGTCAGTTGCCTCCTCGTCCTCCTCCTCCTTCTCCTCCTCCTCCTTCTCCTCCTCCTCCTCCGCCTCCTCCTGCCTCGTCCTCCTCTCCTCCTCCTCCTCGTCCTCCTCGTCGTCCTCGTCGTCCTCGTCGTCCTTGCTCAACTGCGACCGCGATCCACTGTGTTCTCTGCCGGACCTCAACCACGACCATCCACGCCCAGTGTTCCCTGCCGGACCTCAACCACGACCATCCACGCCCAGTGTTCCCTGCCGGACCTCAACCACGACCATCCACGCCCAGTGTTCCCTGCCGGACCTCAACCACGACCATCCACGCCCAGTGTTCCCTGCCGGACCTCAACCACGAGTATCCACGCCAAGTGTTCCCTGCCGGACCTCATGTAGGAAGATATGGGACAAAGAATGTGCAGAAGAAAGTTAGAAAGAATGTCAGAAAGAATGTCAGAAGATATGCCAGAAGATTGCCAGATAGAATGCCAGAAGATAGAATGCCAGATAGAATATGCCAGAAGATATGCCAGATAGAATGCCAGATATGCCAGATAGAATGCCAGAAGATTTGCCAGATATGCCAGATGCCAGAAGATATGCCAGAGAAGATATGCCAGAAGATATGCCAGATAGATATGTCAGATAGAATGCCAGAAGATATGTCAGAATATATGCCAGAAGATATGCCAGATAGAATGCCAGAAGATATGTCAGATAGAATGCCAGAAGATATGCCAGATAGAATGCCAGAAGATTTGCCAGATAGAATGCCAGAAGATATGCCAGAAGATATGCCAGATCATATGCCAGAAGATATGCCAGATAGAATGCCAAATAGAATGTCAGAAGATATGTCAGATAGAATGCCAGAAGATTTGCCAGTAAGAAAATGTATAAATGTCATGGTGGGGATCACACGAAGTAAAGTAATTTTATATATACCTATATATATATATACTTAAAAATATATATACTTATATATATATATATATATTTACTGCTATTTGTGCGTTTGTGCGCATTTCCATACACAATATATCTATACGCTGTAACACAGGTATGTACATGTACATGTATATGCAACGTATGCATGCATGCATGCATGGATGGATGTATGTATGTATGTGCGTATGTATGTATGTATGTATGTATGTATGTATGTATGTATGTATGTATGTATGTATGTATGTATGTAGGTACGTAGGTAGGTATGTATGTATGCATGCATGCATGCATGTATGTATGTATGTATGTGTTTTCCGTAAGGATACATGTGTAGATATATATATATATACACAGTGAATCTTTATAGTGTATATATATACACGTAATATACATGTATTCACTATTTCACTAAGCAAAAACCCGTAAATTTATGAACAAATATATTTGTATATCATAATACTGATAATACTATTATAATAATATGATATAATATAATAGATATGATATAATATGATATAATATGATATAATAAAGTATTAATATATATATACTAATATTTGACGAAGAAAAAGAAAAAAACGTATTTACGTTTTTTCTCAAAAAGATTAAAGTTAAAAAGTAGCAAAATGTAAACTTATATATTTTCAAATTAAAAACCTTGCTCACCAGCTAATTCGAGATGTCTATATTCATCTTAAACCACGATGATCTGAGGTTAATCGAAACTTTCATAAAGTTGATACCCTCTAGTAATTTAAGATAGCTATTGAAAATGGCCATGTAACTTATCGTTGATTACATACTCAAAAATGGTGATTTTCCGTGGCTATGTTAGTT